ATATATATATATATATAATATTACTGTTGAGACTGGTGGTTTGCCTATATGTGCATCTCTATGTCCCATGTTCCCTTCCCTTCCACAGTTACCTTAACGATTTAGAACGAATAGGATCACCGGGGTATGTGCCCACTCAGCAGGATGTGCTGCGGGTTCGAGTGCCCACCACCGGCATCATTGAATACCCATTTGACCTGGAGAATATTATCTTCAGGTACTGGTGTCAAGTGCTGCAGATGATGACACTGGTTGGCTAGCTGCTCGACAGTTGGTCAGCCAGTTGGAAACCGTCGACGCCGCTATCTCCATCTCCCCTGTGCTGCACAGCAGGGCTCAGCACTTTAACATCCCTGATGGTACACTCTCAGAGACTGGCTGGCCTCAAGGCCCCAAACCCTCCTGTCAAGACAGTAATCTTTGTCACCTAGGCAGTGAAAGTTAGCCTCTTAAGTGCTAAATCATTTTTTGGAGTCAAATGAAACTTCCCGAAACCTTCAAATTGAGCGCTTAGAGGAGGAACAGAGTGTTAAACTGAGGAATATTTTGTCTTTGGGAGTTGCCATCAAGGACAAAGCTACATTTCTAAGAGTACATTTGGGGGTAGAGGTTCGTCCCCTCATAGCTCTTACAGCTGGACTGATCCACTTGCTTTTGGAGGAGTTTTGCTGTATCTGCGGTTATGCTTCACTTTCTCTTCCCTCCCTCTCTTGTCTCTTGTTGTCCTTCCTGTCTCTAGCTATCTAAGTGATCTGGATCGCATTGCTGAATCGTCCTATCTGCCAACCCAACAGGACGTTCTTAGGGTTCGAATCCCAACCACTGGGATCATAGAATACCCTTTCGACTTGCAAAGCATCATTTTCAGGTAGAAAAAGAAATGCACTACTTTTACTAACCCTGCTTTATTTTTTTTACCCTACTACTGTCCTGTTGTCATTTTAAAATCTAAAAGGCAGTGTTAACATGTTTCATGTCCCCCTTTTGTCTCAATATGTCCCCATTGGTCCCCATATGATCTATTCTGTTATTTGCAGTACATTCAATGTGCAACATTACAGTAGATTCCACTGTAGCTGAAACAAGTAGACTTATCAATTAGTTCAACAGAAAACTAATGTGCAACTATTGTGATATTTCAATAATCGTTGAAAGTTTTAATCCTTGAAGATTTCAGACCTGCTTGATTTGGGGACACCTGTGGTTACCATGGTAACATCAATTGTGGTTTAATATTACAGCAAACACTCCTTCAACAGCTACTTTGTCAGAAATATGACAGAGGACTATTTACCGTGCAACCGAACAAAGTAATGTAGTTTTTCTAAAGAAGCCAGTCAGTAATAGGGATTTTTCCATCATGCTTTGAGCAACCATGATCTGACTACATGCTGCTCAGTGTGAGTAGTTTCCTGAGGTGTTGGATGTTTGTAGCCTGTCACCTGTAACTCTTCATTTAACAGCTGACAGTGGCTGCTCCTACTTGTTCCCTTACTGCTTACTTGCAAAAAGTAAAAATCCATTTTGATAATGGTGACAAATACATGCATTTATTGTGGCTGCTTCACAATAAAGCCACCAAACACCAGTTAATGTTAATCCCCCCCCACCCAAAAAAAAAAAAAAAGGGCAGTTAGATATTTAGTTTCTATTCCGTTGGCAGTAGCTTAATATAGCTCGGACACAATGTAAAGAGAAAATTGTGCTGGATGACATATGTAATCAGGCAGTCTCAATCCAGTGCGTAAATGGCGAATGACAAAACACTAAATAGACAGGCAATTACTTAATGTAAATGTATTAAATGGCTATAGCAGAAAAACACAGACCTTAAATAGTATCCATGATGGGATTGGCTTCCATGAAAATCTTAAGGAGTGTAAGTCTTAGCAGTTTTTCTAGCAAAAACACCAAATCTCCTGTAGTTACTTATCCAGTATCAGAATGTATACTGTAATGTATCATTTGTTTAGACTAAACCATTAATTGGCAGAATAATTGATCATGAAAGTAATTGTTAGATGCAGGCCTGGCTTTTATGTGCATCCATGTTATCACTTAACCGTAGTCTATTCCTTCCTAATTGTTTTGCGTAGCCCAGCGACATGGCCTCTAAGACCCTGCACAGAGGCAGTCTTTAGGACCCGCCACCAATACGTAGAGCCAGCTTTCCTTCCTCCTCTTGCAAAATAGAGAGAAGATGAGGAGATAGAGATGGACCCAGGGAACAAGAGCGATTACAGAAGAGTGCAAATCGATAGGAAGCCATCATGTCAGCCCCCTCCTACGCTTGGCAAGGCTAGAAATAACTCTGCTTGCAATGAGGTTGTGCTGAAGAGGTTCCCAGCAGCATGCTGCAGCTAGCCGATAGGCTCTACTCTGCTTTGCTGTGCTGCTGATGGTGAATCACTGCATGCTCTCGATGACATCAGTTTTGTGTTAACACACCGAAAATATAAATATGAAGTCAGAATGAATGTGAGGTGTCAGGTTTTTTTTGTTGATGATTGCTAAGGTTTCTCACTTTATGAGACTGTGTTGTCATTTTCCTGTGATTAAACATGGAGGATACTTGACGCAGGATTAGAAGTTCCACAGCCTGAAACTCATGTATAGTACAAGTACATGTGGGACTATACTGCCTCTGCTCGCAGTTGACTAGGCTATAGCTGCAACAAGGAAGCCTTTCATAGACAAACATCTCCATTAGGCTTGCTTCCTTCTCTTTTAATTTGCTTTTGAAGTCACAGAAAATGTCATTTTACTTGGCTTATCCAGCATAGGAGAGCTTATCGTACTAAGTAGGTCACTCATCCTTGCTAGAGGGAAAAAAGGAGGTCGTCTGATGTGAAGGAGTTTTATTTTAGGCTGGCTCCATTTATCAATGCCGTCCTTCCTTCTGGCAGACTCACTGACTGAGCTCACCTTTGTGATGTGTGATCAAAATTTCACTGTCTAGCTTTTGAATGATATTAGGTGATATTTTGTGGAATAAAGACTTTGACGTAACTTGTGAGAACAGTCAGAGTTTCATGCATTGTCTAAATTTGTATTTTCTGTAGAAGTTAGTTTAAATGGACAGATAAGAAAATCAGATTTTTGCCCTCTCTGCCCCTCTTTCATTCCTATCTGGCAGCATTTTGTCTTCAGCCAAATTTGATTTAATTAATTTCCCTTGGCTTTAATACTGATTTGAGTCGATCCATGTCTCGTACTCCACAATCAAAACCTATACAATGTCCGCTGTTTCTTACATCCTTTAGTGTTTTTCCTTGATTTCCCAAGTCTTTTTTTTTCCTCATCTCTTTTCCTTCGATTACTCCACGTGTCCTCTTCCAACCTCTATCTGTTTACTCCTCTTGTATCCCTCACACTTAGAAGCATTTTAATGCATTCTAAACAAGTAAACAGTTTGTAATCCTTTCTAGGGTTGGGTGATATGGCCTAGAAGTAAAAGTAAAAAAAAAGGCCCACCCCTTCTTCTCGTATTGGATATTATGGACAATGATTCTAAACATTCTGTGTAGATGAGTGACTTGAGGGGTTTGAGGCTTTTTTTTACGGAACCCTTATCAGCTATACATTTATAATTCATCCATTTTTTTGTATTTCTAAAATGTAGATTCAAATGAATTGATTAATCACCTAGCTCTACTACTTTCTATCCCCTGCATGGACTTTCCTGCATCTACTTTACAAAGAAGGGAGAGAAGGATGGTATTGTTTTGAACGCAACATACACTTCCTTGTAGTTATTTTGGTTCACCGTTCGGAAGGCTTGCTCTGTCCACTCTGATTCACTCTGCAGATTCTCTGTTCATGTTTCCTCTGTTTATATTTTCAGTGCAAAAAGGGTGTTTGGCTTGAACTACACTAGACTCACTAGATATTATGTTGAATTAGTGGAAATGTTCAGACAATATAGGGCATTTAAAATGTTGATTGGCCACAACTGAATACAAAGCCACATTTTAAAGGGTGAATGCCTCTTTGCACTGATGCCTTTTCTACTTGAAAATCATCTTCCTGTCCTGAAGTGACCCAGATCTTTAGCTGGTGGCTTGTCCTCAGCTCACTTCAGGGTTTCTTCTGGTGCCTCTGTTACAATGTTTTGAACTATTTGAATTAAATGTAATACATCTAATTTAATTAAGTTGTTTGATTTGGGACACATGCGTTCTATTTTCTGTGATCCAGGTTTGATTTGTTTAATAACCCTGGTAGTTCCAAACATTCAACAGAAGTTCCATCTTTGACATAATGATTGAAACGCTCCCCGATGTGTCGCGAACGTTAAACATCTAAACAATGGAGATCAAGAGAGTCTGAGATATTAAGAGCTAATTGTAATTTCTTCTCTTTCATGTGATTCACTCTGCCCTGTGCTGTGTGGCCCTTCATCTCATCCCATCATGTTCCAATCAGAATGGTGGATGTGGGGGGTCAGAGGTCAGAGAGGAGGAAGTGGATCCACTGCTTTGAGAACGTCACTTCCATTATGTTTCTGGTGGCGCTCAGCGAGTACGACCAGGTCCTGGTGGAGTCAGACAACGAGGTGAGTTTTTTTATTTTATTTTTTTTATTATTATTGTGGAGGCAAACACAAGATTTTATCACACTTCATAATAAGACTTCAAGTCTTGTCGTTTTTTCACATGGCATCACAAGATATTTGCAGGTCTTTCAGTTCTGGTCATCCACATTCACATTAATTGGACAATGAAATGTAGGTAACCTTGACCCATTCATAGTTAAAGCTGCTCTACTCAGTATTTTTATGCCTCAGTGCCACCGATAGCGAGGCTGGAGTCATTATGTTTTCAGGTTGTACATCCGTCTGTCTGTCCCATTCTTGGTAACGCAATATGGCAGGAATCTCTTCAGATTTGGCACAAACATCCACTTCGACTCAAGGATGAACTGAGTAGAGTTTGGTGGTCAAAGGTCTAGGTCACTGTGACATCACAAAACACATTTAACACACATTTAACTTAAAACTTGATGGCCTTATTTCGCAATTGGTTGTACAGTGAATTTGTGGCACTTTTGACACTCAAAGGTAACTGACCTCAAAATGACCTTGACAAACATGTTTTATGTCGTAACTCATAACACAGAATTGATGCTGTAATTAAAATTGGCCATTATTCAACACCACAACAGAACAGAAGGGGAGGTTGTGAACATATTTAACAGTTAGTGGGGCACTGACTTACTGACGTACACTATTGTGACCTCAGAAGAGGTTTTTAGCCATAATTTAAGAATGAATTGGGTGATTCCAGATTTCACATCCATGTTGCAGTGTTTCTCACAGGACGACAGGGACGGCGACAGGGGATAATATTTCTAATATTAAGCTATTGAAACTATATATGTCACTACTTAATTCTCTAACTACTTTAATCACCTTGCTTTTTCTTTCAGCAATGTTACTCTTACTATAGCCAGTAATGTTACTTAAGCCAAATATCTCTCTTATTTTATAAAGTCTCCCGGAAAAGCACAACTCGCCTTCAGGATTTTTTTCACCTGCGATTCCGTTTTAATAACAGCAGGTGAGCCGCGTGTGAAGGAGGCTCTTTGGTAATGACGTAGCCTATAAAAATGATCGAACACAACGTGGTAAAGAACACCATCAGCAACAGCTGATGTATTCACCGCTGTTCACTCTTGCTTCAAAATTAATCTGACTGCAAACAACATATTGGAGTGCACCTACGTAATCGTGGGTCAAAGTGCTCACCACAATTGTTATACGAGTCTGAACAGACATGGATCCAAACTACAACTTGAGTGGTTGGCGGAGGCATCAAATTGCAGGGCGGTAATTAGTAGTAGTTTCATTGACAAGGGATCAGTTCACAGTTAAAGCTGCACTACTTAATATTTTTGTATTGACAATGGGTCAAATGACAACAATCTGCGTAGTGTGAGAGTTGTCACTTGTAGTGACGAACATTCGGAGAATAATCATCTGACTCTGTAGCTCATTGTTTTGAGCTTTCTGGCAGAGGAAGTTTGCGACTAGCTGGTGAACATAGTGGAGCATTTAGTTGCTAAGAAGCCAGATATTTCTCTCAGGAGTTGGTGGAGATCAAATAGAGCTTAAGGCAGAATGAATATTGAACTTACATTGGTCAGGTGGCCAGAAACACCACTTCAAATGAATGCTTATGTTGGTGTTCGTCTGATAGAAGTCTAAAAAAGCAACAGTTCAACATATCAACAGTGTTGTGTTAGCAGCTTCTTGCACTCTCTCCATGTCAACAAAAATCAATAAATGCAAGTTTAAAGCAGCCTTAGCTGTTCTGTCAATTAACAGTTCAACAGCAACCATAATGTAGTTAAAATGTAATTTAATGATTTATGTTTTCTATTGAACTACCATATGTGACAGTCATATAGAAAATGTTTTTGGATTGGAGCCTCCCATACACACACAGTCACGATTATTGATGAATCTCTGACAACAAGCGGAACTCTCTCTCTTCACTCCAGAGATATTTTGTTTGTCTATGTAGTTGGCTCTGTCTGCTCTGACTCTCCTCTGTTCAGATAGAATTATCTCTAATAAAGCTAATGTGATCAGCCACTGCATGCCCTCTGCTCCTCTCCTGACAACAAACCCTCTCTCTGACCTGATCATATGACAGCTGGGTTTCATAAACCAGACCCAGCTGCCAGCTTGACTCACTATATCTGCTGTACATCGCTCCAAATTCATGCTCAACAGTTTACCAGGGTGGATGTTTGTCCACTGGGAACAGTTTAACTGCACACATATACTGTACTTTATCTTCACTGGGCCCACTTAGATGTGGGGCTTTATTGAACACACAAGGACAGGAATATGTTTTCATTTTTGCAGGCTGCTGTTTATTTGCTTTTCCTGCTTGCAATGTGTATATGGACACAGGTGGTAGGCCACTCTAGACAATTTTGATGCTGTTACTGAGCTCTGATTCTAATTGGCTGACAGCTGAGACAAGGCTGGGCAGCATTTAGGCATCAGTGGGCAGAGATTATCCTGTCGTGTTGACAGGCCCGAGACCGAGACTTTGACCCTTCGGACCAGTCGGAGCCTGACGAGATTGTTTTCAAACATCTTTGATTTCATCAGGTCAAGTCTAGCCAGGATCATATTATGATTTGCCAAGACTAGACTGTGGGAGTGATGCTGGCAAGGAGTTTAGACCAGAGAGAGGAGAGTCATTTTTGACAGCAACTTTTAGCTTTTAGTAGCTTACATGAGCTGACAGGGAAAGTCTTGAGTCATTTTTGTGGTTGTTTTGACAATCTTGAGTGTTCCCTGGCTGTTTCTCATCCGTTACTACAATATCCTGTATTAACTGTAAATGCTGCATTCCAGCTGCCACGCCATGATGCCATCCAGCTACAGTCCATCACTATTAGCAAGCTAGTGTTTGGTGTCAGAAAAAGCACTTGACAAATGTAAAGTGTCGGTGTCCAAATATAAGCCGACAGTGACTCTTTCTGTGCATTTGTGAAGGGTTAGATGAAACAGTGAACATACTGGCTTTGCTAACTGCCTGTGGGTCACAGCTAAGCTATGCTAGCAATGTTAGCAACCATATAATAATAAAAAGTAACATATTATTACAGGTTTAGGTAAATAAACAGTACTCTTTTGTTTCTTCTTGTGTATGTCTTTGGAGAGAAACACTTTGTTTCATTTGGCTGCATTTTTATTATCCCTGCTGGTATTTTTGCTGCCGACTGGATCGTTTCTTTCAGTTTATTTTTGAAAGAAGTCCTGTTATGGCACAAGTCCAGAAACCCTTTTGCCTTTTCACCCGAAACAGAAGGCGACAAAAAATATTGTCCATAGTGAAGTTTACTGTTCTGGAAATACTCTTTTGTTGGTCATTGCTTATAGCCCCATTCAGCTAAGTCTGGCTTATAGTGCTGGGGCTGCCAATTAAGTGTTAGCCCAAAAACTTTTAGAGATAATCCTGAAAATCAAATGCATACCTAATATTGATATTAACTGTAGCATCTGTGCATTGGCCAGACATTTATTCACATTCACATTCACAGGGAAGAGTGAATCAAGCTGAGTTTGAGAAGTCTTGTATTCTGATTATATTCTAACCTTGTGTTTATTTTCCTGTTTTTTTTCCCCCCCTTGTTAGAATCGTATGGAGGAGAGTAAAGCTCTATTCAGGACCATCATCACATATCCCTGGTTCCAAAACTCCTCCGTCATCCTCTTCCTCAACAAGAAGGACCTGCTGGAGGAGAAGATCATGTATTCTCACCTGGTTGACTACTTTCCAGAGTTTGACGGTGAGTGATATTTATTTATTTACTGCCCTTTATTAGACATCTTAACTACAAAATGAATTTGACATAGTCTGCCTGTCATTGAATGGTTTTGTAGTTAGGACCGTGCTGAGCCTCAGCAGTGAATTCAATTCCAGGATTTTATTCCAGGAAATTAATTATCCTTACAGATGAGAAGTTCAGCAATTAGTCAAACTCAGTCAGTGTTTGTTGCGTTTCTTTCAGTCTAGTTTAGCCAGTAACTGACCATTCGTAACGGCCCTTTACCATTAGGAAAATCAAACTAGCTGATTGCTATCTTAACCAGGAAAGTGGCTGTGTCATTATTTGCACACAGGGAGATTTTTTTTCACTCAATCTATAACTTTATCAAGGCAGGAACCGGTCAGTTATATTTTTGATTGTACAGTGACACCCTGTGGTTGTGATGATGTACTACAATACAAACTGATAGTTGACTGAACATGGCAGTATTCTCTTTTTTTGGCTTATGACCCTTTAAAATAAAGCAATACCTATTCACCCTCTCACCAGTCATATCTAGAATGGTAACTTGTCATCCAGAAGTGATTTCTGTTTTCCTTTCCAGCTGTTTTTGGTTGAATTGTTAAAGAATGGTCATGTTTAACCCATTTTGAGAAATGCTGAAATTAAATACCGATAAAATAAAGGTTCAATAATGCTAATACAACACTCCATAGAAGCTAAAACTAATGCTCCGTTCTTCTCCCAGGTCCCCAGCGGGATGCCCAAGCGGGTCGGGAGTTCATCTTGAAGATGTTTGTGGACTTGAACCCAGACAGTGACAAGATCATCTACTCCCATTTCACATGCGCCACCGACACAGAGAACATCCGCTTTGTCTTTGCAGCCGTCAAAGATACCATCCTGCAGCTCAACCTCAAAGAATACAACCTTGTGTGAAGAGAGAAACAGAAAGAGAGAGGGAGAGAGAGCAAGAAAGAGACCTGCAGCCCCACACACACACACACACACACAAACACACACACAATGCAGAGTCCACTTCTAAAAAAACACACATCTGCATGAAACACACTGCTGCTCAAAAAGCATTGCTTCATACTTTACCAGACCAACACTATCCATGTCCTATTCCTACTGTCCTCTTAGCTCCTTGGTTGTTGGTTGCCCATTTTTATAAAGAATGGTCTCTGTTTTCGAATCTGTTTAGTGGTTCTAATAATTGCCCCTGTTGTACAAACACACTGAAAGATAACACTCCCTCCATTTGTCCCCCTCTCTTGGGGTTTTGGTGTGCTCTGGGGCTCCTCTTGGCCCTAGGTGTGGCTCACCTTTTTTTTTTTTTCTTTACACTACATTATTACCATTGTGTGTGTTTCGAGGTGGGTAGAGGGCCTTCTCTGGGTAGATGAAGCTTTTATGGACAAAGGGCCCTCTCCCCTTCTTCTTATTTAACCCATGCATGCGATACACTACAGCATGAGGGCATGAGGCCGGGCTGCAGACCCTCGACTCTGCTCATCTGCGAAGGGTAACTAATTATGATAAGAATATATTATCTGGCAGTGCTGGGGTGCAGTGAGGTACTTGGTTCCCCTGGGTCTTGAATTTTGTATTTGATTATTATTTTTTTTTGTTAACCCTGCCCCACTCAGAGCCCAGACGCTCTGTTGAATGTAAATAAAGTTTTCATGCTGCTCACACAGAGTGAGGGCTACACAGAGACGACAACATGTTCTCTGTTATACTTTCAATATTTTCAGCTATGTTAACGTCTTGGTTGTATTATTACTGCTATTCTCCATTTAAAATTGAAGATGACTACTCAAAGGAATGCAACGCTCCAGAAAGACTCACAATGTGTTACTTTTAAACTGCCCCTCATTTTAAAGTGTTAACATGTATTATGAAACAAAAAACAACAACACTACTACCGGTATTAACATACTGTATATCAACTCCCTCGTCATTTTGCCCTCATCACATTGCCAAATTGTAACCACCTGCTTTTTTCTGTAAATATAATTGCATTGCCAGTATCTTGTTCATCCCTTAAATGGTTCAGATACCAAGAAAACATATTTGGAAACGGTATTGCCAAAATTAGGTGCAAGTTTTCTCTCGTGGATCATTCAGATTTTGATGGCATAACAACTCACTTTGTGTGGCATTTTTTCATGTCGACCATTGTCTGAATCACACATCTATTAGTACTGTGATTTATTTTCTCTGTTTCCTTAATTAATGTTGAGAATAATCTTCCTGTGCACAACGTGCGAATGATGATACCAGATTAGTACAGTGCAATAGTCAGTTGTAGATGAAATAAAGCTTTTGCGCTGCCAGTTAGCTTAACTCACAAGTTGGTCTTGATCACCCATATGGCTTCTCTCTGTAATCAACTTTATTTAGCCATATTATTTGGCCAACATTTGATAAACTGTAATGGATAGCAAGAGAGTAAATAGTTCTTTTTTTGTATGTCTAATTTATCAATCAGATCTACGTATTGTTGATACAGTAAATGAGACATCCTCCCTAGTTTCAGCTTAAACGTTTTTCCAACCTAGGAGACAGGAGGAGATTTTATACTGCTGTAAAATATCAAAACTATTTTATGGACAAGTGTTCTATCTTTCTAATGATACTTCATATATTTAGTTGTTGCAGTTCTGTTTTGAGATGCCTGACAATGGAAAACGCTGTTTCCGTGTCAGGTTTGTGCTTTTATGCAAATAGGAAAATGAAAACAGACAAAAAACTTGGTGGTTGAATATTTACTGTTCAAGAATGCTTGCATTTTTTTTTTTTTTAATTTGAGGATATGTGTTGGCTATTGGTTCCAATCCCATATCGTGTCTCTTGCCTGATAGATGTTTAAATATTCCATTAAGCTGAAAGTTGATAAATGGCTATTTTTGTCTTCACAATGTAATTCAGGTAAGTTTTCATAACTTTTTCATCACAAGGGCTACTACTAGCAGCTTTGATAGAAATGAAAGGACTCTATGGACGGCATAGAGCAAAAGGTGCAATTAATTGAGGTGGGGGGGTTTATGAATCAAGAGTGTGTTGACATCCTGTTGAGGGTGATGGCCGCAGGTTCAGTGAGGAAGGAATGCAGCAGTCCACAGATGCCTACATGACATTCCCGAGGGAAGTCTGGTGGCGGTTTAGCTCTTTGTTCATTATCTTTTTGCCTTTAGAAGAGGAGAATGGCTAGCGTCAAAAGAAGTGGGGTTTCCCGAGGTGCAATAGCACAGTTGCACCTAACTATCCTCATACTCTGATGAATTATGTGCTGATCTTCTTGGCTTTATATTTTCCACTATGTGGTTATGCATATTTGGTTTAATCTTCTAATTGGTAGTGTTTCCATGTTTGACTTTGGCATTGGCTGTGTTGGAGTCAGAAAAAAAGGGAGCACTTGGGACATTTTGACCTTTTTGTGCACATTGAACTAGCTGGAAGGGTCAGATTAAACATCAAAGACATTATTACAGAGCCTGTCGTACTCCCTTTTGTGTATCTTAAATTGTTTGCCAAAAGGTTTACAAGTCAAATTTTCTTTTGAATTTCTGCAGAAAAGCAGTTTGATCTGTTAGATTTAGGGGATTTTACTCGCCCTGTGTATTACTTAGCCTTGATTTTCTTCACATGCACCTACTGAGAGTAATCGTCACACCTCTGGTGCAAATGTGTACATTGTGTTGATAAAGCCATTATCTTATACGCTTTGACACTTAATGAAGAAGGGACATATATATTTATGCTAAGTGCCACAATTTGTTATGAGTTGATATGAAAATATGAGAAACAATATTGGAGATGTTGCAAAAGCTCTGACTTTGAGAAGTCAAGTTATTGTTTTGGCTGTGACCTTGTTTTTTTCCAGCCTGTACTGATAATGGGTTCAGCTTTGGTGCTTCAGCCAACATTTAAAGGCCTTTTCTTGACCTGTTTGTCCCCATGTATAGGGGGATGCTTTTCACACTCACTTGCTAATAGAAGTTCATTTTGTGGGTGATACAATTCAGCACGCTTTTCACTTTTAAATTAAGAGCTTATGTATTTTGATATGTGGATGAATAAACTACGTGACAGACTTTAACTGAGCTTTGAAAGGAATATTTTGTTCTGCTTCCCTGCTGGGATAACGTGCATCTATTTGTGTTTTGTTCCCCTGAACTGTGGCTTACCACCTTAAGGGCAGCCGTGTGGTCCCTTACACTTCATGCTCGTAGATGAGACGTTGCGCCGCAAATGGACTTGAATGGGCTGCTATGAGGATGAGAAACAAGATGAAAGTGACCACTCCTGGGACCACTGTTTGCACGATGGTGTACTCTTTTAAAAAAAAAAAAAAAAGAAAAAAAAAAAACTTTGTTGTATCAGTTTTCATATGTGTATTTGCCTTCTCTGGTGAGCACCTCGCAGCTAAACAGAAAAAGTCACATGGCAACACTACCGGTGATGGGAGCTAACAGCAGAGCTGGGTCGGTTATTTGAAGTCCTTTCCATTGATTTGTACTGTATTTGCTTTATTCTGCTTAGAATGCATTCTGGAGAAGGTTTGTACAGCAGTCCAATAAAATACTGTGCCAAACAAAATCAATCAGCCACAGAAATTCACAATTTGTAGTAACTTGACCCAGATCTCTGTGGTAAAACTTGTTGATCCACTTTTGCATTATGGTTTCTTTTTTTTTTCTTTCTTTTTTTTCTTTTTTTTTTTCAAAATGAAGCTTGTGTGTTAAGCCTCAGTATTAATGTATTTATTGAAAGACTTGCCAAGTGAAGGTACTGAAATGGCCATTATAATATTTTGGTGGTTATAATTGTGAGTGAATGAATATGCTGTATGTTTACATGTCTGCCATTCTCCGCTCTCTCTCTTTTTTTTCCCCCTTTACTTGATTGGACTGTGTATTCTTTCCCTGGGTCGAAGGCACTGAAACTGCACCACTGCAATGGGCCTGCATTCATGCAACTTAGATGTCCGTTCAAGCGCGCTCGTTGGTACTCTGAGGTGTGTATGTATGTGTGTGTGTGTGTATGTATGTGTGTATGTATGTGTGTATGTGTACACTTTTGATGGCTATTGCTTATGCTTGAGATCCATTCTGATTAGAGGGGTGGACATACAGTGATATTAAAAGCTATCTTGCATCTTTTATTTTATTTTATTTTTTAAGGTTGACACACCTTAACATGTGTATTTAGGACCACTTAAGATGACAGACTTTTTTAAAAGAGTTCAAATAAACTTTGTGTAGTGGTGTAAAAATTGAAAGTAATGTATTTTTGTTTGATTTTTTTCTTTTTTTTTTCTTTTTTTTAAGTATACCAAATGTAAATTATGTACAATGAGTGTGCCAATCCCCTTTCTTTGTAAAGCCAGATTCTTAACAAGTGCCAATGTTGTGAGAAATCAGAGGGCCTGTGAATTTCATGGTCCAGTTTTTAAAACAAATAAACACTTAAGTATGTGATTAATTAACTAAAAAAAAAGGACAATTTTATTCTATATTTAAGATTAATGATGAACTGCTGTTTTTAAGATAAATGTAATTTCAATTGCATGTGTTTGTCAGGTTGGGGAGGGAGTGGGTGGGTGATATACTGTATTCATGCAACGCGCTCATGAAAAGGGTCCTAATGGTTTTTGATTTACAGTATTTTAGCCATATTTCTCTTTTGTATGTTTCATTTCAACCACTGTTGCCTGAACCTCATTCAAACATGAAAATGATTTTCATAGCCTTCTCCTTTAAATGTTTTAAATTGGAATAAAATATGTTCCTATACTCTCTTATTGCATTCTTGTACATTTCCTTTGGAGAGGGAAGTTGTTTTCTTACACTGTATATTGTGATTAAAGGACTATACCACTTTTTATGTCCGCTAATACAAGCCGTATATACTTCAACTGAAACCGTCTTTCAGAAACAGAACTGACATTAACTTCAGTGGCTGTTTGAAAGGTATTTACTATCCGTAAAGGAAACAAACTACAGCAAGCTTTCAAAAACTGTTAATTAATTGCAGCTATAATATACAATGTACACATATAATTTGAATTAGATGGACTAAAACATCCTCAAATTACTGATGTGATCTTTGATGATGGATGCAGAGATGATGAGAGGTCACTGGTTCACTAGCAGCTCATGTGACTGCCAACTGTTTATGACCACTCAGGCATTCATTTACATGCAGGTAATCAATGAAGTTGTTGTCACTGACAGAAAATGCTACACAATAAGATAAACATTTATTGGAAAAGAACTTCAACTTCAAGTAATTTGAATCTAAAAAAAAAACTACTACAAAGCTGCACTTGCAGGTTAATCTGTTTGCATCATACAAAAATGTGTCAAGAGGGAGCGATCTTTAACATCATGGTGACATACTGCAAACAGCACCGACAAAAAGCAACTGTGGCTATAATTACAGCTTTTAAAGCCAGATTCTCGAAACATTTTAATGGCAAATATCTCAAAAGATGATGGAAATAAATCTACAGAAGGGGTTTAGTATTTTTTTTTAATCAGAATTTCATATCTGGCAGCAGAGAGAAGACAAACAACATTTAGCCCATGATGCAGGGTAATGACATTTACTGCAAATATGAAATAAATTGATAAAATGTCAAATGTGATTTATTTAAATATTTTAAAAAACAGTTACAGTTACAGTTTGATAGGTAGCTGGTCAAGTTTTTAGGTGGATGGGGTTCTCTATTAAATCCTGGCTAAGGCTCAATAAGGATATGATTCATACAGGTGTTAAATAATAGTGCGAACTGGCCAATGATTTGGTTACTTAAAGTCAAAAATCATTAATCTCCTGAAAGTGGAAAGTTTCTCTGTGCTTTTTAAGGGGTGGGGCCTATGAGCATGATTAGTGACATCACAAATAGTTTGAGTCAGTCCTGGTCAGGATGCAACTTGCACAGTGTGTAGAAACTTGAAGCCACCAGTGCACAAACACTGAGAAAAGACTTTACATTGAAGTAGAAGACATCTCGTGTCCAGCAACTTTAAAAAATGAACAATGGAATTTTTAATGAAGTAGAATGATTTTAATGTAAACAAGTTCAACAAAATAGACATAGACTCTTATATACAGTGATACATATATAAACAATAACATTTGTAGACAGTAGACAATAGTGCAAAGGATGCTGTAATAAATATTTTACGTGCAGGTTTCTTTATGTACATGAGGTAGGTGGACAGTACATACAGTATGCACAGCAATGGTAGAAATTATACTTTTTTTGGTAGAAAAAAACATGTCAGGCACATTGTTGTTCCAAGGAGACTATCAGTATACAGTGCCTTGCAAAAGTATTCACCCCCCTTGGCTTTGTACCTATTTTGTTACATTACATTTTAATCTGAATTTTATGTGATG